ACAAAAGCCCAGAATCTTATCCAAAAGTTATGACCATGGTTTTTGAAAAGTAGGTTCAAGGTCAAAAATCATTCTTTTTTTTTTTTATTTTTCCATCTTAAAGTGAAATATCAGTCTGCTCCAAATTTCACCATTTTTTAAATTCCAAACATGATTTTCAGTGACAACAATAGCATTTAATTCAAATGGAAACTAGTTTTGAAGTATTAAGTCTACTTTTTCAGAAATTATTATTATGTCCTAATCATGATGTGAAAAAAATTTGATATGATAAATAGAAAAATCAATAATTTTTCATCTCACAATAAAGTTAAAAATATGAGGTATACATGAAAATAATATTTTACTATCATACTTATCTCATTCTCATTGGAAATAATAATGAAGCTTTGCTCTTTAAATCAGAATACGTTTGGTATCAGATTGTTTTTTGTGCTTGTAAAATAATATGCATCCATCAACAATAGTTATCTCTCCATTATCGCCCTTGAAATTTTTTAGTGATAAAAAATGTTAATTAATTAAATTATTATAAACTATTAGGAATCTGAATTGTTTGTAACAATTAAAAGACATACGTTTAGAGACAGAAATTTATCAATTTACATAGTTAAAAGGAATTGAGTATAAATGTTTTAAGTAAACTACTATAAACAATTAATGAAAATATTTGCAATAAAAACTAGAAATAAATATCTGTGCAGGAGACCAGTTTTGGTTGAGTCGACTATCAAATGGTCCTCGTAAATAAACTTTGTAAATTCTGACCAGAAAATTCATTGAATTTCATGGAAAACCGTCCTCAGAAAGTTATCTCTCTTATCAGAGGAATATTACACCTTAATACAAACATATGACCTTTTTTCTTTTTTACACGCCATTCGCTCTCAATTTCTCACTCATACTCATTCATTTTGATAAGTGGAAGCAAACTTGTTCTTATATATTTTAACAGAAAAAGAGAAAACAAGAATATATCAATTTAAAATCATAGTGCATTTAGAAAGGTTTTGTCCCAGGTAATACACATATGTAATATGAAAGTCCTGCCTCTTCTTATTCAAAAGATATGACCAAGGTTAGTTTTTTTGTGACAGACGGACAGACGATTAGATTTTATGCCCCCTCGCTTTCGCGAAAGTGGGAACAAAATGTATGACGCTCACAGCTCTTGTGTGAACAGTAAATGTCTACAAATTTTCAAAAAGCAGGAAAACTAACATTAATTTCGACAAATTTGTTCAACCTTTTAAAAATTAAAAGATCATATAGATTTAAGGGTTCAAGCGTCAGGATAAGGCTAGATGATTCTCATTAATGACCAATACAAGCTATATTTTACATTTATTTATCTTAAATCGGTGTATACAAATGTGTTGTAAATATTTGCAGGCTACAGAAGCGTACTAGTGCCACAAAATATTTGTTTAAGTTGGAATTCCAACTTTAAAGTTGGTAAATCCAACTCTAATCTTGGAGCGGAATGTGTCCTAATTTTTTTTTAACCTTGACCTGTCCTTGAAGAGTTATCCCCCTTTATTTTTGATCAATTATCAAAGTACTGAGACATTACTGAAAGACGGGGTCAAAATAATCTTCATGCTAGATTTCACAAATTTAATTTCTTTTAAAAATAGTTTTGATAACAACTAAATTTTTTTTATTAAAATACTAAAATTAAGAGTGTAAATAATATAACTTCACGTTTGTTTGTTTGTTTTTCACGTAGTTTGAAGTAGAAAATTCAATAATTGCTAAGCCTAGAAACCATTTTGAATTGTCCGAATTTCACCAGGTCCGATAAATTTAATATTTTTCCCGGATTTAAATAATGGATGATGCGTACGCAATCATAATACTACGCAGGAGATTACTTTGTGTACTAGTATGATTTACAATCAATATTTTCAGTTTTAAATTTTCAAAATGCTTCATTAATTTGAGTAAAAAAGTTCATATCACTTACTTTAGTTTGATACAGAATGTTTGTATTTCGATCAAAACAATTTCTGCACTCTTTGATCTAGCGTACATTTAATTCATGTGTTCTCCCCATGTGTTTCATGTGTTTCCGTTTTGAGGCCTCGACTGACAGTAAACTAATAGACGGGGTCACGTGACCCCGTCTAAAAATCAATTCTAAAAATCTAATCTAATCATTCTTAATAATTATATACATCTTTCCACTTATGCATCTTTTGATATTCTTTGTATTTATTTTTTTATTTTCAAAAAGCTTGTTCCCACACACCTCAATGAATTCTTCATTAATTAATTACTGTTCAGATTATAATATTTTTGAAAATTTCCCTTGGTACATGTAAATCATTATTTATTCTTAACTGTTTTGAATTAGTTTCAGAGTATTCAATAGATGGATATTAAGGTTAGATTGACTGTGTACTGCTTAACGTCCCTCTCCAGAATATTTCACTGATATGGAGACGTCACCATTGCCGGTGAAGGGCTGCAAATTTAGGCCTATGCTCGGCACTTACGGCCTTTGAGCAGGGAGGGATCTTTATCGTGCCACACCTGCTGTGACACGGGGCCTCGGTTTATACGGTCTCATCCGAAGGACCGCCCCATATAGTCGCCTTTTACGACAAGCAAGGGGGTACTGAGGACCTATTCTAACCCGGATCCCCACGGGGCTATTTAAGGTTAGAAAATTATATCCTAATATGGGTCGGATACCTTAAATTTTCTTCATGAGTATTATAAATAAGATGAATAATCGTGTCAGAATAGAGAGAGAGAAAGAGAGAGTGAAAGAGAGCTAATTAAGTGCTTTTTGAGGCTCTGACTTTGATTGATGGAATTTCATGTTGAGGTCAAATGATTTTCTGTGCGTCTTAAAAATATTGCATTTAACATGACTGAAGCTTGATGGATTTAATCGACTTTTCTCGCCGACATGGTGCCGTAATAATAATACATGTGCTTTCTCTTTGAAATGATATCCCAGACATATAAATGTATGCCACCGATGTATGCCATCCTCTCTGAATATTGTAAGTTCGGCTTTTCTGACAGATTGTCAAATATATCGTAAGAAATAAATACGCTTTTAAGAACGGATTATTTGTTTGTTTATAAAAAAAAAACAGTAGATTGATCATTCATTTAAGACACAAAAGGCTAAATGTTAGCGACAAAGACAGAATTCGCTTTTATACAATGGTATAGAAAAAAAGTGGTATACCATTAACAGTATCAACTTGCATAAATAAATGTGAATGTTCCCAAAAGCTCAATTAACACACATATTCGCTTTTTGCATCTTTTCATGTGTAAATCGCTGCCAGTTGGGTATTCAAGGTGGGTGATTTTTCCCATTTTTTAATTAGTCCGTAATTCCATTGTTTCAGGTTATTTTTAAGAAGAATTCCGGTGGCCTCCTCCACACTCGCTCAAAAGTCAATCTTCATTTTAAGTAAGTTCATTACTTTGAAACATTTTTGCTTACAACTGATATCCAAGTCCGTATTTTACTGTCTTATTCAGAAGACGGTCTTCATTGTTCCTTTATATCTTTAAGGTATCTGATCCATATTAATCTCAGATTCAATGGAATTGAATGTATAATAGATATATATGGGCCGAATACTTAGTGTAGTTAGAACTAATTTTCATCTTTTAGTATAAAAATGTAAGAGTGTCCATGTCCTAATTTATTACCTTTTCCTGCCCTTGACGAATTATCTCTCTTTGATTTTACTCAATAAAAATTAATTTAAAAAAAATCTGTCTGGTAAAAAAATCACTTTTAATTGTTTTTCTATTCCCAATGATCAAGTACATCTTTCCACCACAGCATTTTTTGATATGTGAAGTATTTATTTTTTTTTATCTTAAAAAACTTACATCCTTCCATAGACTTCAATGCAATCTTCAATAATTAATTTCTGCTTAGGTAATTAAATTTTTGAAAATTTCTCTTGGTAAATCCCTTTCTACTCTAAAATGCTTTAAAATAATATCAGGATATTTTACAAACAATTGATATTTAAGGTAGAAATTTGGGTCCTAATATGGGTCGGATACCCTAATATCTTCAGTGTACATTTTTCTGCGCCATAAAGCCTTTAGGAGGCTAAGGGGATGGGGGGGGGGGGGGGACAACCATCAAACTTTTTTTTAGATATGATATCTCTACCTGTCAATCATCTTATTGCAAAGGAAAAATTTCATCCATGGCACCTGATCCTTTTTTAGGATAAAAAAAGTTTAACTATTCTAAAGCTTTCAATTAAGAATATGGGTGGGTGGATCCAATTTGCAATTGGATTGTGGCGTTTATTTTTTTTTATCCCACCCTTTTTTGATGACAGGCATATCAGTGCCTGCGTTATGATATATTTAATTTTAGGATGTCAGATTGCATAATATGATACCAAAGATTTTTGTATTCTTTCGAAGTTTTTTCTAGTCTTGTCTGACCCCCTTATAATATGTTTATAAATTGTTTTGCGTCATTTACTTCAATAAATGACATTTTTTTCACTTTCACTACTGTTGTTATTTTAATTTTAATCCATCAAAAAAACTAGCTAAGTTGACTTGGCTTCGGTCTTGCATAATAACAGAGGAACATAAAGAATATATAGTCACATACACTGTATATGCCACCAATATTTTTTCTATAGAGTAGAGAAACTCCATACTTATTTGTCTTACTTCTTTTGGTTCCTACTGCTTTCAATTCAGTGAGATTATCGAACGCTTCTCCGTTCTAACGACGCTAATTTTGTCAAAATGCCAAATCCCTTCCTAACGAAGAACAAAATTATATCTTTTTTCCAGGAAATCGTTGCAAAATACCACAATGCGGAATCATTGCCAAATATTTCTAATGAATGTCTAACGTGGTTAAAACCACCATCTGTCGCGCAATATCGTACAAATTGAAGTTTTCTCTTTACCCATTTCCTTTACTGGTAAAAATTATTCATACATATAAGGCTTTGTAAAATCTTAGACAAAACTGTTATGATTACCCAATTCTCCTTGTTATCTGCATACTGTAGTAATAATTCCTGTAAATGTTCGCCTTGCCCGCTTTTTTCTCCGAACTTTCGAATGATTTCCTTCGTTTTCTGAATTTGTGTAATGCTGAGTATTGGTTGCAGTATATTTTCATACTTGATCAAAGTTCTCTGCAGATCTGGTACTGGTAATTTAGGGAGCGGTCTCTGTAATAGAAAGGTAATTTTCACGTCAAATTTCATTATACACAATTACTGATATACCGGTACAATATAACCTCTATTACAAACACAGAACAAATCAACCTTACCTATCTAAATTCTCTGATCAAACTTTCTGAGTCCCGCAGCTTTCTGAATAATTTTTCTACTTAATTTGGAAAAAGTTTTATTTCTCGTTATTTTCAAGTTATGAGTATGTCAATTAGTATTACATTGACATACAGCAAATCCATACTCAGAATTAGATATACTATGGGCACTGAGGTAACTAAATGATATCCCCGCCTCCCATATGTTTATAATGGCAAATCCAATGTTTTGCTCTAGGAGACCCGAAATAGGTGTCAGATCAAAAATTAAAAATGAAAGGCGCACAATAACTTTATGTAATAAAGACACTGCCATTTTTTCTGTAATATTGAAAATACTCATCTCCTTTCCGCAACTCCCCCTTTATGATAAAATTCAATGATACTTTCAGATATTTTGCTAATTTCTTCTTTACGAATGAAATGTCTTGGAATAAAGTCGATCTGCCTTAGGCCTACAAAGAATGACACGTTTTAATGGCATTAAACATACATGCATGCTTCGATCAGAACAGCTCATTTTTAGCTCACCTGAGCCGAAGGCTCAAGTGAGCTTTTCTGATCACATTTTGTCCGGCGTCCGTCTGTCCGTCCGTCTGTCTGTCTGTCTGTCTGTAGACTTTTCACATTTTCGACTTCTTCTCAAAAACCACTGGGCCAATTTCAACCAAACTTGCCACAAAGCATCCTTGGGTAAAGGGGATTCAAGTTTGTTCAAATAAAGGGCCACGCCTTCAATCAAGGGGAGATAATTGGGAATTAATGAAAATTTGGTGGTATGTTTTAAAAAATCTTCTTCTCCAGAACCACTGTGCCAGGAAATATGAAACTTATAGGGAAACATCCTCAGGTAGTGTAGATTCAAGTTTGTTCAAATCATGACCCCCGGGGGTAGGGCGGGGCCACAATGGCCGACCAAAGTTTTACATAGAAATATATAGGAAAACTCTTTAAAAATCTTCTTCTCAAGAATAAGAAAGCCATAATTGATCATATTTATATGGCAACATCCTCAGATAGTGTAGATTCAAGTTTGTTCAAATCATGACCCCCGGGGGTAGGGCGGGGTCATAATGGCCGACCAAAGTTTTACATAGAAATATATAGGAAAATTCTTTAAAAATCTTCTTCTCAAGAATAACAAAGCCATAATTGATCATATTTATATGTCCGCATTACACAGATAGTGTATATACAATATTTTGTTCAAATCATGACCCCCGGGGGTAGGGCGGGGTCACAATGGCCGACCAAAGTTTTACATAGAAATATATAGGAAAATTCTTTAAAAATCTTCTTCTCAAGAATAACAAAGCCATAATTGATCATATTTATATGGAAGCATCATTAGGTAGTGTAGATTCAAGTTTGTTCAAATCTTGACCCCCGGGGGTAGGGCGGGGCCACAATGGCCAACCAAAGTTTTACATAGAAATATATAGGAAAAATCTTTAAAAATCTTCTTCTCAAGAATAACAAAGCCATAATTGATCATATTTATATAGAAGCATTCTCAGATAGTGTAGATTCAAGTTTGTTCAAATCATGACCCCCGGGGGTAGGGCGGGGCCACAATGGCCAACCAAAGTTTTACATAGAAATATATAGGAAAACTCTTTAAAAATCTTCTTCTCAAGAATGACAAAGCCATAATTGATCATATTTATATAGAAGCATCCTCAGGTAGTGTAGATTCAAGTTTGTTCAAATCATGACCCCCGGGGGTAGGGCGGGGTCACAATGGCTGACCAAAGTTTTACATGAAATATTTGGGAAAATTCTTTAAAAATCTTTTTCTCAAGAATAGCAAAGCCATGATTGGTCATGGGGCTACTTTTTCCTAGCCACAGTGCTCAGGTGAGCGATGTGGCCCATGGGCCTCTTGTATATGATTAAAAATACAATTTATGGGGGGAAACTTACTTGATCTATTCTATGGTTTGTCGCTTAGAATAATCTGTGTCTCGGGACAAGCCCTAACCACAGTAAGAATACCTCCCATACACACGCTATGTTAAAAAAATTGCAAAACATTTGAAAATCGCTCCTGAAAGATTTTGAAGAATACAAAAGATTTGCATTTATGAATGATTATACCCCCGCTCCGAAGGAGAGTGGGGTATACTGTTTTACCCTTGTGTACCCTTGTGTGTCTGTCCGTCCGTGTGTCTGTCCGTATCAAAATTTCGTCGCAGTTTTCTCAGCAACTGCTCATCGCAGATGTTTGAAAGTTTAACGAAATCTTTCCTAAGGCATGCAATATAGTGGGATACATTTTTGTTCAAATCCGATGTCAGCTTCCTGTTTGTCTGTGCGTCTGTTCGTTTCATACATTACAAATTTTCGTCGCAGTTTTCTCATCAACTATTCATAGCAGATGCATGAAATTTTAGTACACTCTTTGTTGAGGCATGCCATATGGTGGGATTAATTTTTATGTGAATCTGGTGTCAACTTCATATTTTTCTGTGCATCTGCCCGTAGTTTATCTTTTTTATATTATTAACATGATAGTGTTTATTCACATCAGAGCGGGGGTATTACTAGTGAGCCTTGGCTCACAGATTTCTTGTTGTATATGGTTTAACGCCCCATTCGAGAATTTTTCACTCATACAGATATGTAAGATTTGCATTGAAAATAACTACCAAAGTAATTTAACAAACATTTTTGAGGTTGTGTATGCTATTAACCTAATAAAATATTTGGAATATTATTTAAGTGCCACACGAACCCGAATTTAAAGCGTATTACTGTATAAAAAAATTTAAAATACCATAAATCCGTCAAAATCAATGAAGCGGAACTAAATGCACTGTTGATCTGTAACTCATCAAAATACACTCACATAACAAAAATCTACTTAAAATGTGCAAGCGTTTAGAAAAAAAAGTGGGGAAAACCAAATGGGACAGACTGACAGGCAGACAGAGAGATGGACGGAGGATAAGATAGCGGACGGCATACTAAGAGGAAACCTATTATAATAGTCCATTTTCACCGGTAGGGGACTATAAAGCCCCTGATTGACACCATACTTTTCCCGTTACAACTGCTAACATTCCAAATGAGAAAACAATCATGAGATATTTTCCATTTGAATTAAAAGTTTTCATCGGCGGCTGAATCGAACCGTTCACTCATTTTCTCAGTTGTTAGCTTTACTGGTCAGAGGCCAGAAGAGCTTATGCAATAGTAATGCGTCCGTCGTCCGTCCGTCCGTCCACCTGTCTGTCTGTAAACAATTTTTCAAAATGCTACTCCTCTTAGTTTCAGTCTGATTTCAATGTGACTTGGCACACAAGTAGACTGCACAAAGATACATAATTCTTCAATTTCATTGAACGGTGTTGCCATGGTTACTAAAAATAGAAATTTCTGTGAAATACTTTCAAAATGCTCCTCCTACAGTTTTGATTTCAATATAACTTGGCAAGCAAGTAGACTATAGTAAGATACACATTTTATCCCATGTTTACCCCTTTATCCTGTTGATATAGCTCATATGATATCGTTTTCGTATCACACAGTTGTGGCGTCACAATGGGTTTTGCGTTAGGGTGATGAAGTAAAATGATGTGGAGCATGCGCGGATCTAGAGGGGGGTCGGGGGGGGGGGGGGGGGTCAGGACCCCCCCTGGAATTTACCAGGTTAAAAAATGTATATACTAAAAGAAGAAAAAAGTTACCATGAACCCCCCCTGGAAAACGCTGACCCCCTCTGGTAAACGGGAATATGTGTGAAATGGGTATGAAAAGTGAAAGAATTGAGGCAATAGAAGTCACCACTCACCCCCCACCCCCCTTGCTTGTCAAGAAATTTCTGGGATTGGAGTTTTTTTTGGACTGGGGTGGACCCCCCTGGAAAAAATTTCTGGATCCGCGCCTGTGGAGTCCTATGAAACCTGAAAAACATTGTTAGTGATTTAAAATAACATTGGATAAAAAGAATCTCACATGATTTGTAGTTATATATGATTTTTATCCAACTCGTTGTGTGTTTTTATACATGTATAAAACACACAACTCGTTGGATAAAAGTCATATTCAACTACAAATCATGTGAGATCCTATATTCATTTATTGGTCTTTGATTTCGATGAACGATGTTGCCATGGTTACTAAAAATTTTCCAAATGCCACTTCAAATACAGTTTTAGTCTGATTTTAATATAATGTGACATGCAAATAGACAAGAATGAGATACATAATTGTTTTTTCTTACTTTTTTTATTTTGATTAATAATGTTGCCATGGTAACTAAAATTGGTAATTCTGGAGAATTTTAAAAAAATTCCAAATCAAAAAAATGGAAATGGGCACAGGAATTGCTCCGAATTACGTTACTCTTACATGAACTTTAGGATAGATAGAAAATACACTTCATGAGAAAATAAGAGAACAGTTCGATTCAGCCACAGGGGAATAGGGAAATATGTCTTTATGACCGTTTCATTATTTTGAATGAAAGCAACGTTAACACAGTAATCTTTTACAATTTCAACAAGTTAATTGATGCAAAGCATCAAATCGGCCGCAAACATATTTAACATGTCAAAAAAGTCCTTTCACAATTCAAAGCATTCGTGCAAGAAATGAACAGGATATTCAAAGCTGAAATAGTGATCATTTTTATTTCTGGCCGTCTTCAAAGCAAAATAAATAGATAAATATTTTTTTAAAAATTGATAGAAATTTTTGTATCATGCCTGCTGTCCAATCCAATTCAATAAATAAAATATATTTTAAACTAGAAATTGTAGTGCATTTGCTCATCCAATGGATTTATCGATGTAAAAAAAAGTCTATGATGAATATGCATGGGCGTCGGAAGCAAATCAAAAGTGGGATGGGGTGGGGTGGGGTGGGGGGGGGGGGCTAAACCAACAAAAATTG